GTGTGCCTTGGCTGTCCTGGCTCCAAAATGGTGGAATGAGCTCCCCATTGAAATCAGGACAGCAGAAAGCTTACACATCTTCCGGCGCAGACTGAAAACTCATCTCTTTCACTTCGAGCGATATAATTATTAACAAAGCACTTATATACTAATAAAGGACTGGCTTACCTAAAGCCAGTTGAGTAGCACTTGAAATGTTTTAGCTCTATGAAACCTGATGTACTTATATGATTCACTTATTGTAAGTCACTTTGGATAAAAGCGTCAGCTCAATGTAATGTAATGTAATAAAAACCAATGCTGCATACGCATACTAAGTGAGGACCATCCAGTTAGGCTATGTGTGCAATGATGAGTAGGTTGCATTTGATATATATAGCAGTGCAGCATGGTATAGTGGGTCAAGTTTGGCCAAAACAGTGGGACAGGCAAATCTAAAGATTGTATCACCGTAGTCCAGCTGGGACAGGAATAAGCCAGAGACCAACCTTTTACGGGAAGAAGTTGAAAAACAACGTTTAAGACTGTTAAGGAAGCCAAGAGTGAATTTCTATATCTTAGTTAGAACTTCAATGTGGTGGAAAAGAAGGCAAGATATAATTATTTTATTATAATTAATTCAGATTTAACCAGCTTTGTTGTTTCTGTCAGTAATTTCTGAGTGTTGTTACACTCATTGATGGACTGAAGATAATGTGAAATATTCTTTAGCTGTTTTATTGATTTGTGGACTGTGTGTTTTGACATTGTATAATTTGTTTTTATTCTGACTTGTATGCATTAAGGAATGATATCTTGTAAAACCCATGCTGGGTATAGTTACATACATTACACAACAACGGAAACTTTCTACCTTCAATCTGGGTCATAATAATTAATAATAATCGTGCTATTTCCAAAATATTGTATTACCAAACTTTGATGTCAGTGGTGGAATGTAATAATGAGCTCAATAAAATGCAATGGACGTTTAGGTATGAAATGACGACATTAATTTATTATAATTAATTATTTACTCTTGTTTTTTCTGGCCTCAATACTTTTACAAGAGACATTTTTCAACCAAAAAACATAAAAACTAAATATCCTCTGTAGTTCTGCAGCCTGTCCAGCAGGTGGCGACAATATCCCTCAAGCAGTCTGACAAACAAAAACCAAATAAAGTCCAGCGAAGAAGAAGTAGGAGCTCGTTGATTGGTTATTGCTAGGGGACAGCTTAACATCAAGCGCGACCGCTACATCTTCAATTTACAGCCCAAAAAAAGGCTTTTTCAACGTTACTTGTACCTTTACACGGCCGCAGCTAGACATATGTACATGTTTTGTGGCAGCTAATCCAGCGGACACAATGCCAACTGTGTGCTAGGATAGATAATGTAGTTCAACTGTTCGTTTCTCAGGTGGGACAGACGAGTCTGGGAAGGTAAGTGAGCCACCTTGCTAATGGCTGCAAGCTAGCTAGCATCACATTAATTATTACTATTTTTAGTTTTCTCATTATTCAGGTCAACCCCGCTAGTTTATGTTAATAGGAGCAAAGAAAGCTAATGTCTTCACTGTTCGGGGAAGATAAGCTAGCTGTCAGTGTGTCTGCTGATGCTAGGCCTTTTCTGTTGGATGTTAGTTGGGCTCAAGCTAACGGTTCTGATATGTTTTGTGAATTTGTAACTTTAATAAAGAAAATTACATTTACATATATTTAAGGTCGGAGCAAATGCTTTTATATACACTACCGAGAACACATTCGGAATCACCTGCAATATTTATGTGTTTCTTCTTTTATTCAATATTGGCTAACAGATCAAAACTGTAGATTTCAGATAGTAGATACATTATTTACATGTTGAATAGTTTATGCCCAAACTAAAGAATTAAATGATTCAGACTTGCATTTGTATTCCAGGCCTATATTGCAGTCTGCATGTAGCAGTTCAGCAGAACATACTAACATTTAAAATGTACATTTAAGTGTAAACCCTAACATGTTTAAACCACAACTGAAAGTAAGGCAATTTTATTTATATTTCAACACAAGGCAATTCATAGTGCTTTACAACAATGAAGGACATTAATAGTATTAAGAAACATATTATTAAATGGTATTTAAAAACACTCATTTAAAAGCAAAGATGCATGAATTACAGTTACAGTGCAGTGTGAGATACACACATCTGAACGAACCCCCCTTTGGAAAATTATAATCTGACCCCATGGTACCTTTTTAGTTTTTGCCGAAACTATTCCTCTTTTTTATTTTTAAATGCACATAGTTAAGTTTACCTTGTCTTCCTAGGACTTTTTTGGTATCCTCCATGAACCATGGTCTTGAAACCAAAACGGATTCCTGTACCCCATGGTACCTTTTTTAGTTTTCGCCAAAACTATTCCTCTTTTCTTTAAATTAAGATCAGTTTAAGTTGTCTTTTCTAAGATTTAGCTTATTTTAACAATGCTTTTTTGTTTTAGACCAGCAGCTCACTCATTGATTCGTTGTAGAGATCACAAACTTCAAAGTGGCCGAAATGGACGAACAAAGTGTTGAGGTTTGTGTACGCACACACACACACACACTACACACACACATACACACACACAACACACCACACACACACACCACACACACACACACACACACACACACAACACACACACACATCACACACACACACACACCAGACACACACACACACACACAACAAACACACACAACAACACACAACACAGAGGTTCAACATCAAATTTCCAATCATAACGATAGAGGCCACATCAGCACTTATAGGTTGAACTCAAGGGCCGGTTGGTAAACTTTAAGATTTTATAGACATATAAAATACATATGTAAATATTTACTATATATAAAATAATGTATTATAGAGATTTTTGCGCCTCTGATTAGATTATTATGAGGAATAGGGTAAAAACGTCATAATTAACTATGTCTGGAAAGTAGAAAGTTGGACAAGAATTCAAGGCCTCTTCCAGTGAGAATGTCAACAAAATTCATTTTAAAAAAAAAAGCCAAATTCTGGAAAAACCACAAAAATAGTAACATTTTGAAAAAAATCTAAGTTCTGAGAATAATCTAATTTGAGATGCTTTGTGGGACATTAGTTTCATGGGCCAACGTGCTTTCTGTAAAGTAGTCTGTATAAAAACATATTATATTCTTTGCCATATAAATGTAGTCGCGGGCCGAATTTGGCCCCCGGGCTTGAGCTTGGCAGACACCCCTGCCCTACAATAAACAAGATCAAATAAGTTCATAATCGGAGTATCAACATTATTTCTTGTGTTATCTATTGTGAAGCATGCTTAATAATTGAAATCAAGATCTTGCATCCAGCAAAGAGAAATAGTTTAACAGAACTGAACCAACAGTTCAGGGCGTATGTTAAGATAGCAGTATGGATGCTAAAGATTACAAAATAAGTCCATGCCAGGTTTTCGAGGTTATGACATTCGTTAATCTAGGAGCGACTGACTTGATTTTGGAAGATGTCTTGCGCCATTCAGGATTCATACACAATTAAATTTATAATCTATTTTTACTACAAATGTATAAAATACAACTGTATAATCCAACATAATTCATAATTCCTTTTACTACTTGTGTTTGATATGAATTCATTTTATAGAAGAAGAGAAAGAGAAGAATGAAGAGAAGAAGAGGGAAAGAAAGAAGAAAGAAGAGAATATGGAAGAGAGAAGAAGAAGCAAAAGAGAAAAAGGGCGAGAAGAATTTCACGGACCTGCGCACTGATAATTGAGATAGAGGATGGATATGATAACCGCCATTGGGGATATATCTGTGCTGTAATTTAGTCTCTCTCTCCTGTCCCGTGCAGAAGCATTACGCGGAGGTGTCTTAGCAGACATGCGAAAGAAAAAGAGAAAAAAGAACAATCTGCAGAGGAAGAAGAAAACTGAGGGACCAACAAAGGCACTCGAAATGTCCGACAACAGCACGATGCTCCAGACAGTGACTTAGCGATACAGACTGCATGGGAAGAGCAGTCTGTTGTCCAACCAAGAGAGAGATATGCAAGAGCGAGACAGAGGAGGCGAAATCACGCCGTCCAGATGAATGGCCGAAGTCAGCTAATAGATGTATCTGAGCTATAGAAGTGAGCATAAGAGAAGCTGGAGAAGATCATACAGATAAAAGAGAACAGGGAATAGAAGAAGATAATATGCCGACAAGCGAGAGCTGATGAAGCGCTAGACTGATAGAGTAGAAGAAAAGATAAGAAGAGTAAGGTGAGAGATGGGCATTCATGTATGCAGATGATTAGAAAAAGAAAGAGTATAGCAAAGTGGAAGTAGCCAACGATGATGATAAACGAACAAATAACTTAGTTTTGCAATTCCAGAGATTGAAGAACGAATGAGAGAAATGATATGCGACATAATTAAGGCCAACTTTACATTTTTACTACAAACTTAAAGGTCTCATGTCATAATAGCCATTTCAGCGTGATCATAAAATTCCATATGTAGAGATCAAGAAAACAACATAGAGTATATAGAAAAAGAGGTTAGTCTGACAATTTCCCAAATCACTTGGTTTCTCAACAGCATCTCTGTAAACCTAACGATGTATTATCACTGAAGTTTCACTCATGATGAACGCAATATATAACGGCTCGTTGTAGCTCCAATTAGCTCCAGCCCCACCCTCCCTGTGAGGCACACACGTGTGCTCTGATTACGTCGGGACGTTGAAGATCGCAAGCTGAAGACTCCGTAGGAGGAGTGAATAGGATAATTCCAATATGTGATTTAGCGATACAGCAGCGAACACAGCCAACTCACCCCCTGAGACACAGAAAGTCACAGCCCAAGTAGAGAAAAGTAAAGCAGAAAAGCATGATAGGGCTTGAGTCATAGAGGAGACAGAGAGAGGAAAGAAGAGAAGAAAGAAGGTGGATAAGACGACTAGTGAGAAGAAGAATGAGTCGCAGAAGAGAATACTTCGTAGACAGCGGATGACAGAGAAGACAAACAAAACATAGGCTGATATATCATAGCAGACACCTGGAGCAGCGCAGAGAGGAGAGATGAGAGACCAGAGCTGCGTGGCACTGAGTGTGGAAGAAATAGAGATGATGTAGAGAGGAAGTCCGTGAGATTAAAAAGTGGTCAAAAATATATAGAGACAACAGAACGAGCATGGGTTAACGCTAACGGAACGCACCGCGAAGAGATACGCTAACGTACGGCTTCGCACGGATTGGCTGCATAGAATTGGGAAGGGATTCGCCGGGTAGATAACGACCTCATAGAACATAACTGAGTTACCGGAGAATCAATAGGAAACAGAAGACAATACTCAAACAACCGAGGCGTATATTTGGGGAGAGTATATTCTAGTGTAATAAGAAGTTTTAACTCGCTACAGGGATGATAGACTATTGAGGGTTTGACTCGGCAGATCCGTTTACATGCAGAAAACCTTCATAGCACACAAGGGGAAAAAAAAACGGGTATGAACCGGAAAAAGGCATGGACGTAGAGAGAGGGGCATTTTAATCACAATGTTTCCCTGTTTTTACTGATGGAATAGTATTGATAAGTAGGTTTGATAAATAGAGTGATACATTATAAATAAAGAAAAATGCAGGACTAACAAAGTAAGCATACGTAAGCAGAATACAGTATGCTAATTAGATGCCAAACAGATGATAATGAGCGATAAAGACAATGAAAGCACTTTGGCGCACAAAGGATTAAGAGTAGTATTAATAACTTTGGCTCTTTTCACAGGATTTCACTATAAATAAATATATGTGAAGTCTAGGTCGGTGCTGTATCACTGAGAGAATCTCACGTGTATCTATAGAGAATACCTGGTTTTAGTTTAGAATTAAATGATAAAGGACATGTTATCACATTATTTGACGAGCGCGGTGGCTACGGAGCAAGAGCCCAGTGTCCACACTGTCGGAAAAGGACAAGATGCTAACCACAACCCACGATACTAGAATAGTCAGTGAGTTCAAGAGGAGGATAGGTGAAACTTCACCGACCCAATTCATCATAGAAACCTTGTAAATCAGAAAGGAGCATCACATCCAGTTGGCATCTTCACGATCCAATACTTGCCATTTTCAATGATTTGATCTTGACGAGTATTTCTAACACACCTTCGAATGACTGTAGTGAAGTAAGGCGCATTTGGGTACAGGTATTACAATGAGTATTTGTGTGTGTGTTCAGTACAAGCTCCGCTCCAGCTGAGGCGAGCCTGCGCGACAATAGTCGCGCTGGGCAGAGGAGTGACCAGCAGCCTAGACACGCGCTGCAGCTGCGTGCAGCCTCAACAGAAAAGCACGGACACAAGCGACAAGCGCCGAACGACAAGAGCAACAGTGCGCACCCCCGGACCACCTGTCTCCTTGCGACAGAACACGCGAGCCTAGTGGCACTCGGCTAAAGCATTTCAAAATGTATCGTAAAGACTTAATCTCCGTCTGCCCCGACCTCGTCCTGCTGATTTATTCACAAAAATTGTTTATAATGCATTGTTTTAAAGACTCCACGTTTATAATAGCCAGTTTTAACAGGAATTGGCGCACACCCAACATGTGGGCAAAATTCTCCGGCAAATACGCTACCGCACAAAATTCCTATCTCCCTGATAACCCGGTGCACACTTCTAGATGTTATCCATCCTCCTTCTAGCATATTCATCCATCCTACACATCTCCTGCATCTTGATAAGCTTACATCCTGTTGTCAAGACGGCCAACATCTTTTAGCCGTTGCGACAGTCTGCTCGTGACAAGCAGTGTGATTGGATGCATTACTTTGCAGATGTGATAACCACCCAGGAGAACGGCTGAGTGTTTTTCTGTTGAAGGAGCGCTGTGAACGAAATGCATCGTCAGCCCACGTGTGCTCTGTGTGGAGGCATTGGTAAGTTCAGCATCTTTTAAAGGTGAAGATTAACAAAAAGCTTGCATGCCCAAATACAATACTACAATGCATTTAGTAGAAATCAGGCTTGCAACTATCTTCTATTTACGTTTATCTGATGAATATGCGCGATAATTCGTGACCCCGTCTATCCAGAATCAGTCGAAGTCGCAGTCGGGCTCATTTCAAATAAAGCGTGATTTGTGTAAAAAAAAGTTTTTTTTTTCGGGTTTCAGGGTGTTTTGTTTCATAGAGTATTTAATAAAGCAAAAGTCTTAGCCCTTTCAGAACATGAACTTCTTATTTTCTCAAATCCAGCACCGAAAAATACATGTTTGAGGCTTGTAAACGGGAAGAGATGACAAACAAAAATTCTCAGGCACTCTGTTCGCCGTAGTGCTCCCCCACCCCTCCGCCGGGGCTGACTTATGATGTGAGGCCGATAGTATCATGAGATAAGTATAAAAACAACGGCAGCGGTCGCGTTACTAAGTTTTGTTTCAATCTGATTTTTCACATTAAACAAGTCTGGCTTTCAGCAATATGTTAACTTTTTTCGGTCAAATGTTCAGCATGAAATACAACTTTGCAGCTTGTAAGGGCATAATTAAAACAA